AGCCTCACCTGTGAGAGGAAGAGCCCCTTCCTCCCCAGCTTCAGCCCCGACATTTCCAGCTTCACGCCTGGATTTTTTTTTTCCTTGGGATCCTGGGGACCTCTCGTGGTAGGAAGTGAAAATTCGTCTATTTGAGAGGCACGGGAGAGGTCCAGGCTGGATGAACGGCGCCTCTAAGGAAACTCTGGGATCAGGCACCAGGAGAGAAGGAGCWCTTTGGAAAGCTGCGAACCCCCACCCGTGCCCGGTGAGCTCCTGCAGCATTCCCGGGGATCCAGGGGTCACTCCTGGTTTTCCAGCCCTGGCGGCTGCAGGGTGCCAGGGCAGCTGGGCCATCCTCGGAGGTCACCATGGAACCCCTGGGAATGGGATTGGGATGGTGTTTCCCTGCAGAACCCTCCCCGGAGGAGTTGTGCCTGTGGCTGTGCGTGACTGGAATTTCTTGTTGCTGCACAGCTGGAATTCCTGGTGCACCGCTTTAATTCCTTGAGCACAGCTGGAATTCCTTGTGCATGGCTGGAATTCCTTGTGCACAGCTGGAATTCCCAGTGCACAGCTGGAATTCCTGGTTCACAGCTGGAATTCTTTGCACACAGCTGGATTTCCTGAGGCTGCACAGCTGGAATTCCCAATGCACAGCTGGAATTCCCGGTGCACAGCTGGAATTCCTGGTGCTGCCTGGTGCTGTTTCCACCATCCAGTCCCACAAACTGGCTCTGATGGATCTTTAATGGGAGTAGGCGGAAATTGAAGTTATTTCTCAGCAGGGACAAATCCCAGTGAGGAAGAGCTGAGTTGTCTGTGAGAGGGGGCTGCTCCAGCTTTCCTCCAGCTCTGCTGCCGCCTGAGGCCGAATTGTTGTGGGTGAGGTCAGGACTGAGACCTCAAACAAGGCAGGTGCTCCCCACAGGCACCCAGCAGGGAAGGCTGGGCATCAGCAGGGATTTCGTCCTGGAAGGGGTGGTAAGGGATTGGCAGGGGCTGCCCAGGGGAAGGTTGTTCTGTCCCCAGAGGGTGCTGGCACTGCCCAGGCTCCCCAGGGAATGGTCCCGGCCCCGAGGCTCCAGAGCTCCAGGAGCGTTTGGACAGCGCTGCCAGGGATGCACAGGGGGGATTGTTGGGGGGTCTGGGCAGGGCTGGGGCTGGATCCATGATCCCTGTGGGTCCCTTCCAGCTCAGGATATTCCAGGATTCTGTGATCTACAAGGATTTCCTTACTATGAATTGGCATTTAAAGGCTTTTGCCCCAGGTGTTCTTTAAAAGAGCAGATCTATATTCCTTCCCTTCTTTTCCTGCTCCTGGGCTCCCTTTCCCCGTTTGGAGCCCTCTTTGTCACTCGTGGTGTGCAGAGCTGCCTCTGAAGAGGCTTTGCCGAGGAGCTCAGGGGGAGTTTTAGGAAGTTCACAGGATTCCCTGTTGGAAAGGCCAGAACTTCTCAAGAATCAACCATTCCCAGTGCTGGTGCCTTTTGTGCTTGCCCAGCACGGGGCCATCTCCGGCTGCCCCAAATTCCAGTTTTCCCCAGACATTTCCAGCCCTGGCTTTCAGCCCTCCCCTGTCCCTCATGTCCTGGTTCTCRGGAGGTCAGGCTTTCCTCCTGCCCTGCAATTCCCTTTTTTTGATAACCTGATGGAGCRAGTCCCAGGGAGGGCACGGAGCTGCTCCGGGGCTGGAGCMCCTCTGGAGCCRGGCTGGGAGAGCTGGGGGTGCTCACCTGSAGAGGGGGAGGCTCCAGGGAGAGCTCAGAGCCCTCCAGGGCCTGAAGTGGTTTATAAAAAAGAGGGAAAGGGACTTTTTACTCTGTCAGACACCAACAGGACAAAGGGGAGCAAATTTAAAGAGAAAGAGCAGAGATTCCGCTGGGATATTGAGAAGGAATTGTCCCTGGGAGGGAGGGGAGGCCCTGGCCCGGGTGGAGGATATGCAACCTGAGGGTGCTGGGCACAGCCTCTGCCCACAGGAGCATTTTTATATCAATATAAAACATTTCTGACACACCTTTGGGCCCTCCCTGCCCGGTCACATCTCCCACAGCCTCACTCTCCGCGGGAGCTGCTCCAGGAGGAGATCTCACAGCCTCTGTCAAGAGCCATTTTGGGCCCCGTTTGGGATTTGCCAGCCCCACAGGGATGTCCCGGACTTGGCCATCGCCGAGTGACAGCCCCGCAAACCCGCCGGGCTGTTCGGTTTTCCGGCACAAGGTGGCACTGGGGGAGCAGCTTTCTCTTCCCTTCCCTTCCCTTCCCTTCCCTTCCCTTCCCTTCCCTTCCCTTCCCTTTCCCTTCCCTAGCAGCCCCCGGTGCCCCCATCCCTGTGAGGAGCTTTGAGGGGGGCAGGAAGCCCCCAATCCCAAATCCCAGCCCACAGCTCCCGCTCCATGCAGGACACGGTTCCCCCTTGAGCTCTGTGGACACGGAAGGGTGGGACACGGCCTGCCGGGGGGCCACCAGGCCACCAAACCTGTCACTGCCAGGGCACCAAACCTTTCACTGCCAGGGCCACCCAAGCTGTCACTGCCAGGGATGCTCAGGGTGGGAATTTTGGAGTGTCTGCGCAGGGCCAGGAGCTGCAATGAGCAGAATGGGCTGATATCATTAACTCACCGAAATTAACAATTTAGCAGCCAGTGCTTCCCCCTTGTAAAAAGTCATCAGTGAACTCCTCGGAGCTACATCCCTTTTTTAATTAAGATGCCATGCATTCACACCAACAACCTGTTCCTCCCCCCTTCCAAACTGGCCAGATACTCATTYAACAGCAGAGTCTGYCATCCTGTAGCCCAAATCAGGGCAGGTTATCATTCCAGGATATTCTGCAATTCCATGAAAACTCTGTCCCTCGTCCACGGAATGGGAGCAGGAGTTTTGGGCTCCAGAGTTCCCTCGAGGAACAGGAGCAGCATTTTGGGCTGGATGTGCCCCAGTGCAGTTCAACAGCAAAATCGCAGGGAAAWGGGCGAGTTGATGAATTTCCATAATTTCGCACTTCTGGGGTGGGGAAAATTCTTCCTTGAAACAGGAAAAGCAGCTGCTTGATCCCAAGTTTTTAAGGGTCAGAGGTTTGAGTAATAAACATGTTTTACCTGTTACCTCTTCCCAGGGGGTTTTGGAGCACTCTGGACCCTTCACTCCGTAGGCATCACATATTACAGAACATTTTAAGCAGCAGTATCTTTCCCTCCTCACCCTGCGACTCCAGCCCTTCCACAATTCCTGCCGGATTGAGGAGCGGATCCCCCTCCTCTGCCGGCCACAGCCGCATCCCTGGAGAAGGAAATTGGTGCTGACGAGGACCAGCGAGGGCTGCGAGGAGATTTCAGGCGGCATTCCGGGTTCCGAGGCGCTACCCGGCTCCACATCCAGCACAGTCCCCCCGTTGTCTTTTCGGAATGTGCGTCTCAAGGAAATCCCGTSCCGCCTCGGCCGCGGCTGTCAGCGCTCCCGGGGCTCGCAGCAGTGCGGAGATCGCAGCTGATTCATCTGCAGTSTCTGGGAGCTCGCAGAGATCCATCAAAGCCCCGAGGAGAGCGGCTGCTGTCGGCTGGAGCCGTTTCCCCGCTGATGGGGCTGTAATTATCTCCCTCTCAGCGGAACAAAGGCGCTCGGCGGGAGCTGCTCCGCTCCAACGCGAGGTCAGCGGAATTATCCGGGCGGGGAGAGAGCGGCCCTGCCCCCGGATCGCAGAGAAATAACTCGGAATTTCCATCGGGGCCGAGCTCCTGTTGCCACCGAAACTGCGGGAAAATCAAAACCTCTCCAACAACATTTTCARTGTCAGAGAGTCAAGGCATTACTTTATTTTCTGMCCAGGRTGTTGTTCTGGCCAGGATGTGCCACAGAAATAATTTCAWCCACRCACARCCCKGGTGTGCAGAGAAAATMATTCCATCACACATGGATTTTACAAGATTTTCCCCAAACTTTATCCAGTCAAACCCARAGAACTTTATTCGTTMAATGTTCATTGGTCCAACATTGTGCAGTTCTCAGGATTTGGTTTTTTACTGAATACAGATTTCTTCTCCTCTGATGCTCATTARRTTCTTATCTCTTTTCCCAGACCAGGTGTATCCGACCACRCCAGGKGGAGRTTTRGAGCTGATGTTCTGTTCATGGTCACTGATGGTCACTGATGTCCCTTCTCTCCTGTCCCTCTCCYGCTCTGTTGAGCTGTGAAGCTCCTCAGGYSTCACCTGGTRGRACAATGCCCTGCAAAGAAACTTCAACACCTTCCCCCAGGACAAAGGYGAACAAAATCTTGGACTAAAGTTATATAGAAATTTTKWAACTGGTGTATTTTCCAACACTGTCAGGCCGCTGGGTCACTCTCAGTGGCAGGATGGGCCCTTCCTGGAGGGAAGGAGTTGGGATGGGGAAACCTCTCTGCACCCAACRGGGAGGGTTCCCGGCTCCTGGGGTCAGGGATTGATTGCACCCACACTGGGAGCAGCCTGGGACAGTGGGAGGTGWCCCTKCCATGGTAGGGGTGGCACTGGGTGTGATTTAAGATCCCCCCACCCAATCCATGCTGACATTCCCTGATTCCCTCTGCKCTGAATCCCTTTGGATTGAGCAGTTCTCCAACACTGCCCTTCCCTTGGGAAAGCCCTGAGGGGGTAAAAATCTCTCCACGAGGCTCCGGTTCCATCCTGGGCCACCCCCCAGGAGCCCTGGGCCCCACACCCTGCCTGGTGACAGTGGCCTRGCTGCTGTCCCTACCGTGCCCAGCCCGGGGGTGACCCGGTCCCCCCAGAKCCCCTTCCCCCAGCCAACAAAGCTCCAACCTGGTGAACAGGAGAGCAGGAGTGGAAAGGAGGGGGTCAAGGAGTGCCCCAGCTCCAAGTGACATTCAGGAACATTTAGGGACACCCAGCCTGGGTTCAGGAAGCTGCACACCTTCACTGACCTTATTCCATCTCCTTCCAGCCCCTGGGGTGTCCCTGCACTCTCCTGGGAGCGGCAGCAGTGGCRGCCATCCCRTCCCCTCCATCTCTCTCCATTTCCRTTCCTTTTAAAATGGGAGTTTGATGAAAACAGCAGCACCTCTGTTAAATGAGTAACGGGGAGCGGCTGCCTCTATCCCAGCAGCAGAGAATCTTTGTTAAATCACTCCAGAGGCACGACTCTCCAATCAGAGATTTAATCGGAATCACTCGGAGATCACTCCTCAAAGCAATTTACAGATGCTCAGGGATAAGAGGTGCATTAATGAGAGCCAGATCTCTCCCACAGATCTCTCGGGATCGGGGCKCGGCCCCGGGGTCACCCCGCAGCCACACACCGCTGTCAGGACAGCACAGCAGAGGGAATTCCCACTTGCCAGCCTGGTTTTGCCCCTGCTGACTCCTCCCAGTGTTCGGGAGCTGCAGCAGGACCAGAGGCCAACCCCACCCGGGGCTCCTCGAGCTCGGGGTTCATCCCCACCGTGTCCTTCCTGGGGGACAGCCTGGGGTCGGTTTTCCTTCTCGAGCTCGAGGGAAGGGCAGCTCTGARGCTGAACATTCCCAAGGATGCCGGAACTCAGCAGCACCCGCAGGATCCTCACCCCCGGGTGCCCTGTGCCACCAGCGCCTCTGCCAGGGACACGCAGCCACCCCAGGGGGACACGGGTGGGACAGGGACTGCCCCAGAGCCAGCCCCTCCTGCCCAGGGCTCAGCGGAGCCGGGATGGAGCCGGGGAATGGCCACACAGCCCATTCCGCCCTGCTGGGGGGCACTGGGGGCTGGGGACATCACCCACCACAGGGACATGTGACAAAAGCCATCTGCTGCCACCCTGGGACTGAATCACAGCCCAGGCAACATCCCGGGGCTGTTGGATCGCTTATCCCGACCCAGGCAGGCTCTCCCCTCCCACACAGGCTCAGTTTGGGGGCATYGCACCAGCGGGACCAGAGCTGAGTGATCCCAAATCCCTCAGGGCTCCTCAGAATCACCAGGAAATTGCTTCTCTTGGAGGGCGGCAGCAGCAGAGGCTCGGGGAGCATCCACAGACGTGGGGCCAGGTMGGGGTTGGAAGTGCTCAAATTTATTACACGAGAGATGATGCAACAGCGAAAAAGAGCAAAATTCTACATTGACCCTCTAGGCTGAGAGTCAGGACAACGAGGAGATTTCACTTCATTCGGGGAGGCGGGAGGGAGGAAACCAGAGACAGCCCCGGTGGGGGAGGGAACCTGGGAAAGCCTAAATGAACCATCAGCCCCATCGGGGTGGCGCTGGTGGCTGCGGAAAGAACGGTGGGACGGATCTACCTGTGGTCAATAAATTAGGAAAAGCTCAGTTCCAGAGCCGCTGCGAGGCGCTGGGAGTGCCAGCTCAGCACCCAGAGAGCTCCATCCTGACGGCAATGGAAGACAGGAGTGAGTGCTGTGCAGGGAAGGGCTCTGAGCACACCCAGCCCGGCCCGGGGAGCGTATTTACACATCCAGTCAGCGATTAACCCGCTCCAATGCGCCCTGGCCAGGGGCAGCCACCGAGGGGATCATCCTGGGACAGGGACAGGACATGGGCTGGGCTGGCTGCTCCTCCCCGCTGGGCTGAGCCCGTGGCCATCCAGGCACGGATCCTGCAGGATCCCGKTCCCCTTTCCTGGCGGCTCTCCAAGGTCACCGAATGAACCAGGTGAGATCCCWCCAAGAGTTACCAGCCTGAGGGGACGTCAGGGCCAAGCATTTCAGCCAAGCTGCCATTTCTTGGTGTCCTGGCCTCCCTCCCGTCCCTCCCACAGCCCACGAGGTCAGCAGGGACTTTTTGGGGAGGACCTTGGCCAGGACTGAGCAGGCAGGACAGGGCYCAGGAGGAGAACAGCCCCACAAAGCCACGTTCCTGCTGTTCCCCAGAAGGGCAGACACCCCAGATCATCCCCATTCTTTGGGGTCTCCATGGAGGGAGGGGCTGCCTTGGCCAACAGCAGCGTGGGGGGGATGGAGAGGGGACAAGGGGACATCGGGGGTTTGATTTCACCGCAGTTTGTTTGCTGACATCTGTGATTAAGGGTTGGAAAGAGCCCTGGGAGCTACTGGGGGGTGTTTGCTTCTCCAAAACCCAGGGAAGGGGGCTGCTGGATGCTGGGGCAGGAAAAGGGAAAGAGAGAGAGGACCCAGCCAAGCACCACATCCTCCAAACCCGGCTGCTGTGGGGCTTGGGAACACTTTCCTCTCACAGTCACCTCCGTGTCCTCACTTGCCAGGCAGGTGTGTCCATGGTGCAAACCTCCCCAGACCTCTGGGAGAGCCTGGAGACGGCTGGGACAGCAGGAATTCACCACAAAAAAAATGCTCCCAGCAGGAATTCTCCACCAGGAAACTGCCCCCAGCTCACAGCAGGAATTCCCCATCAGGAATTGCTCACAGGCTGCCCCAGCCCATTCCAGCGGTTCCAGCAGGGATCAGTGGCACCCTTGGAGTGCAGACCAGAGGGAACAGCAGTTCTGAGCCAGCTGCACACAGCTGGGGAGACTCAGGAATGACTCAAACAAAGCCACCAGYGCCCGTCTCGCCCATGTCCTCTCCCAGGAACACCAATAAAGCTCTGGYTGAAATTCCATCCTCTCCAAAGGAGTCCCATGGGATCAGCCCCGTGGCTCAGCTCACACTGCCCGGACTCCTGCGGCCTCTATTTGATGAAGTTTTTAATTGTCCACCTCTGGCCCGTGCAGCTGCGCAGGATCAGGTCGATGCCAGCCAGGCCCCTGTTCTCCACCTCCAGGCACCGGCCCGTGCCCTTGTTCAGGATGGCTCCRTTCTGCAGGCACAGGATTTGGGGGAAACGTGTCAAAAATTAACACATTCATTGTTTGGGGAGCACGGTGTGGGAAGATGCACCCAGCARGGTGGGAATGCAATTCCAACGATAAAGGAATTGCTCAAATGAATGGTGTGGAAGGAATGAGCACCCATTGTCCCTGACAGCACCAAAGGGACACYCTCCTGTACAAAGAGCATTATTTGCATTTTGCTTTGGGACAAAGCGTTTTAATGAATTTCACTCTTTATCGACAAGAATTGAGGGAAATGTGGAAGTCATTGGCAGGGCAAGTGACATCCAGCAGCTTCACCTTGCTGGTATCAGACAGGCAAACTCTGATTAGAAATGATCCCAAAATGATGCCCTGATCTTTCTCAAGCTCCTCCCTCAGCCCTAGGAATTTGCTGTTCCTCGGCACCATTTCCCTTTGGTCCCACCCCGCCCCATTCGCTGTGTCCCAGCCCCGGTTTGGGGAGCAGAGCAGCAGCCCTGGGACCCACCTGGATGAAATTCCAGCGCTTGTGGAGGCTGCTCTTGACCTTGTCGCAGTCCAGGAGCTGCGGGAAGCGGCTCTTGCCGGTGTCCAGCAGGCAGCGCGTGTCCGGCAGCAGCGTGGTGGTGCCCAGTGCCCCCAGGTGCAGGAAGCCCTCCCTGGTGTATCGAGCCAGCTACAGGGGACAGGGGACAGCAGGGACACCAGTGATGCCTCAGGATTTCA